GACTAGTTAAAATAACTAGCAACTTTTCTTTCTTCGCATTGTCTATATGAAAAGTTACTATAAAAGTTACTAGTTAGCAATTGATGAGCTATTTGAAATTTTAATGTTACAAATATGGTATTATTGAAACCATGAATTAAGTACAATTTTCCTTGTAAGATAGTAAATCGAGCATTACTTTTTATATTTATTTAGACGTTTTCTCAGTGGCCAGGTTTCATCGTGTTCTGGGATCTGACCTTGTAAATCAGAATGATTTAGATACTTGAAAATATCAAAGTGTGGGTATTGTGACATAATAAAGCAAAGGTGAAGGAAAAGTGTGCGTTTGTTTAATTTAATTAAGAGTTTTTTTTTACATGTAATGAGTAGTGTACATGAAAATTCGTGGTCTTGGATAGAGTATTTGGTGGAAACGATCAATAAGCTTACCAATGACTTAGTAGGCTCAACAACATTTGAGTTATCTTTTCATCCGATCAACAACATAATTAACGATGAACTTCAGCAAAAATTATCCGATTTTTTTCACGAGCTTATCGACCTGGTAGCATTTGACGATTTTCAGTTACAATTATTGAAAGTCTTCTTGTTTACATTCGTTAGTACCGTAGCTCTGATTTTCATCGCTTGGTATATTTACGGTCCAAGAATTTCCGAACAATTTATGAAACCAAGTAAGAAAATTAACATTCTGATGCGTATATGTACATATTTGCATTATTTTGTTGTAATGTAGAATTAAATATATAGGTACTTTGCGTGTTTATGATATGTAATTTGAAACATATTTTACAATGACTGTGCAATATATGTATGTATTTGTACGTTTATTTTTATGCCGTTGCTTTAAATCACGTAATAATAAAAGCATTTTATTATTAGCATTTCATTTAAATTTCTGTCATTAATTTTGTGAATTTTGTTTTGCTTTTGATCCTGCAATAACATACTTGTTTAGACAATGGTCTTTTAGATTAAGCATGATTTTTGTGCATTTAAACCAGAAAATTTTGAAAACTATATTATATTTGCAATTACTTTGTGACCTAGCCAAATTCAACAAGAAAAACTGGAACAAAAAAAAAGACCCTGATGTGCTATTACAGGATTGAAAAATCTACTTATTTCTGCTAAAAAATTAAGCTAATAAATTATTATATTTGGATACTTAAAACTGTAATAAGAAATATAATTTATGTTACAGACTCTTTATCAGAGGATTTTGATGGTTCATCTGACGAATAATTTGTTGGTTAATATAAATTTCATCAAATATATATATATACAGACATATATATAGAACTTTTTACTCTTATTTAGGTTAAATAAAATACAACAAAATTATTTCTAATTATATAATTGATTTACTTTCTACAACTTCTTATAATATTGAATTAAGTAATAAATATGACAGAAAAGATTAAATCACTTTTTCATAAGGCAAAGTTGGACGTGAAATTTATGAATGCTGGAAAAGGACACAAGTAATGTTTATGATATTAACTTAACTAATTAATTCCAATACTTGTTATTTGAATTACTACTGAATCTTATGTTCTAAATTTCATATACATCTTAGCTATTAAGTTGATTATCATTAATATAGATATTATAGTTTTGATTCAAAATTATTTTATACAGATTGACGGAATCAACTAGCAATGTTGGATCTACTTCCATAGTAGAGCCAAGAAAAAGAGTGGAACCTACAAAAGAAGCTAAAGTAGCTGGTCAAGCAGCTTTAGCAAGGTTGGAAGCAAAAGAATCTAATGTAAAAAGATTTAACACGTGAGTTTTTTGCAGAAAAGATATTAACCTTTATTTGTAACTATAGATACAGTAGTGACAATTTAACAACTAGTACAAGTATGATAATGAGTTAATGGGATAAGTATATAAATAAATATATTTGTATTTTATAAAATTTATAGATCATATGCAGCTATTAAAGCACAAGTAAAACGAGAATTAGAGCAAGAAAAACAAGCACAGAAAAACGTAAAAAAAAATCATGTGCAACCAGAAGAAAAAGCAGTTAAAGATAATTCTTCGTTAGCTGTTAGCTATGTATGCTACCGTTGTCCATATTTATCTGATGAAGTATTACCGCAAGATGAGTGGAAAGTAAAAATAAAAGAATTTTTATACGAGCAATTGAAAGGAGAAGATGCAGGATTAATATCATGTTTAATTATACAAAATTGCAACAATAAAAAGAAAAGAATTGATACCTGTGTAGATACACTTGGGAAATACTTAGAAAATATCATAAATAATCCAGAAGAAGAAAAGTATAAGAAGATAAGAATGCAGAATAGAGTATTCCAAGTAATACTTTTGTTTTTTTTTTAATAAGTAGATTTATTTAAGAAGAGATTATTTTTTTTATATAAACATTTTATCAATATTTTAAAGGATAAAGTAATCCCAATTGAAGGTGCATTAGAGTTTTTAAATGCTGCTGGTTTTTGTCAAAAAAAATTAATGAATAATGATAAGGAGGAGGATTTTTTAGTCTGGAACGCTGATAATCGTGATATTGAAGATTTCACCACATTATTGGAGGCACTAAAAACTGCACAGCCTATCCCTTTGGAATTAGATCGAAATCTTCAAATATTGTTACCCATGCAAGCAAACATGAGAACTGAATTACCACCAAGCTTTTTCAATTTAACTCCCGAGGATATAGGAAAAGAACAACAACTTCGGTAATTATACTTATTAATACAAGCAAATTAAATATAAAACTTCATTAAATAAATTACATATAATCATACTTATATATATTTATATAACATTTTTCTTTATTAAAATTAATAGGACTGAAGTACTTGAAAAAGATCAAATGTTAAGGACAAAAGCCATGAAAGAAAGAGACGAAAAACAGAGGCTCAGAAAATATAAATTTTCACTGATTCGTATAAAATTTCCAGATAATCTTATTCTACAAGGAACATTTTCCGTACATGAAAATTTTCAAAATGTTGTTAATTTTGTTAGTGAAAATTTGATAAATAATGAGAGACCTTTCAGTTTAAAGAAGCTTCCTCAAATAACATTTAATGAAGATTGTTTTGATAAAACATTACTTGAATTGGGATTATTCCCTGCTACTCTTTTGATGTTTTTTTGGAAAAGTATGTCTGAAGAAACAAGTCACAATGAATCTATAGGATACTTAAAAGAAGAATTACTTTCTGTTATACAACCTGCTTAAATTTGTAATATTTGCTGTTTATAAATTGTAATTATAAATATTAAAAAAAGTAAAAATAGAGACCATTACGTGGCTTATTTCTTTTGATATAATAGAAACAATAAAAAACAATCATAATACAAATATTCATTCCAAGTTTTAATAAAATAATAGAATTATTTCTTATTCCTTTTTTTATCTTTTTTTCAATATTTGCGAATAAAGTTTATGTGATTATTAAATTTAAAGTCATTTTTATCAGAAAAATTTATATAATGCTTTATAATATATGGATATACCGATATATGAAAATTTAATATATATATTTAATATATGAAAATTTAGGCATTTCACGCAGGCCTGTGATGGATTTTTATTTTATCATTTATATAACAACTAGAAGTTTTTTCTCAAAAGATATAAATAAACGAAATATACAAATAAACTAAATAGATCCAGTACGTTTTTCCCGAAGGTTAATCTTCTAAAATTAGTAAATGTTACCAATAATTTCAATTAAAATCTGTAGGTTGATTTTAAATTGACATTAATTTGAAATTTGATTACTGCATATATAGAGATCTATATATTAAATATTAATTATATAAAAAAGATTCTGCAATTATTTCAGATTTTTTCAGCATTTTATTTGCTTATTTTTGAGCATTGCCTCATTTTTATTATATTTTATTTGGGTATTTTATAAAGAAATTTCATGTTTGGTAAAATTGTAATTTATTAATTTGGTACAATTTTATCTTTTAATACAATTTTTATATTTTCGATTTTAGACAATGAAATAAAAATAATGTGAATTAATGTTCCTTAATACTTTTTTTATAGGGATATATATATTGAGAAAAAGATCAAATGATTATATATCTTGTTATTTACATAATACTAACACATATAATAAAAATCATAGTTTATTGTGGGTGTACATTAATGCTGCACATTTGTGCATTTTGGCACTTTTGTTATATATTAATATTTAATATTTTATATCAGTCTTTGTACATTTCTTATATGTTTAAAGTTGCTATTGCCATCTAAAGTTATTATGGAAAAGTAAATATATATTAAATAATTTCTGATGTATAGTGTATCCTATTCATTCAAGTAATTTATAAGATAAAAATAATTAAAAATAAAAAATAATATTAGTTGTGCATATATATGTAACTATAAAATTGTAAAAATGAAATAAATGAATATTAATAATAAATAGAAATGAGTTTTGTTTCGTTATTAAAAAATTGTTGGTTTAGCAATTACGACTGAACATTGTAATGTTGACGAAAATATATTTTCTTTTCTAATATTTTTTAACAGTTAAAGGAGACGAAAAAATATTGAAAGCTCATCTTGCCTCTTGAGATGTATCATTAGATGTGTGATTTTTCGTTTCAACAGGTAAAGCAAGAGTAGCTATTGCAGCACATAATGCTGTTGCAGCATAAATTGCCATTGCTCCAGTAAGAGACCATTGAAGAAATACTTGTGCTATATATGGTGTAACCATTGCACCAATTCTAGCCATTGCACTACAAGTACTAACGCCAATACTACGTAAACGAGTCGGATATACTTCTGGAGTGTACACATAAGCAGCTTGAAACACACCAGCAATTAATCCTCTAGCTAGAAAAATTGCCAGTGTTAATGCTACTCTACTTAATAAACAGGCTCTGCCTAAGAAACAGATTAACATGGCAAACATTATTAGCTGAAAGGCCATTGTTTTTTTTCTACCAATTCTTTCAATTGCAAAAATAGTAGAAAAGATTCCTGGAAATTCGGCTAACGTTGTCCAAAGAAGATCGATATAATCACTGCGCTCTAAACGACAATCTAATTGACAAATGTCTTCCTTTTTATTTTCCCACGAACTACATTGTTCAGATGATGTATGGAATAATTCCGTAGTCATCAATACAACACCATAATAACAAAATGCCGTACTCATCCTAAAAATGTACCATTACTATTATTTGTACGAAGTATTAATATATAATATTTAACATAGATAATACTTACCACACAAGCCAAAGTAAAACAGATGTTTTACACATTTCTTTGCTTAATACATCTTTCAATTTACCATGATTAACTTGATAAAAACGATCCATAACTAATCTTCCTGGAGGTAAAGGTTTTTTATTTTCTCTTGATACTCGTTCTAAAGTTGAAATAGCTTTGTCCATTCTTCCGCTTGTTATATCAAATACTGTAGATTCTGGTAACCACTAATAAAAAATATAAAAGATATTTTTATATTTTTAATGCTTACTGTTATTATTATTTGATTTTTAATATTTACTGGAGTGATAATAGCAAATACAAGAAGTGGTATTGTTGATAAAATGAGAAGCCATCTCCAACCAAAAGTTGGCATTATTGCCAGTGCTATTGCCACTTCAAAACAAGCTCCAAGCGCCCAAAAACACTACAAAAATAATAATTTCATTATTGTGATATCAATGTCAATGATATAAATGTACATATCAATTTTATTTATAAAGTATACTTATGTACATCTAACAGAATGACACATTTTGCCCTTTGTTTTGCTGGAAGAAATTCTGCATACAATGTTACTCTGAAATAATAATGTTATTCATATCTGCTCTAAGAACATTGATATTTTTATATATGGAACTTACCAAATACTTACGATTGTGGTACACAACCAATAGCAAAACCAACTAATCCCCTAAGCAATAAAATCCATAGAAAATTTGGTGCAAAGGCACTTAAGAAAGCATAATACAGTAGCAATATTGCACATAAAGTTAAGGATTGTTTACTACCATATCTATCACTTAGATTACTCCAAAATGTAGAACTTAGCATCATACCAAGAAAAACAACCTGTAATAAATAATAATAAACAAAACAAATCTCACTGAAAGAACTTTGTTATATATTTTATTAAATGTTACCGTGGTTGTTAAAGCTTGTTGATATCTAGTTATACCCCAATCACAATGTAAGGATGGACTTAAAATGCTTAATATTGTTATTTCCATACTATCTACCATCCAGCAAAGACCAGTAAATAAAGACAGCTTAACTTGAAATTTTCCAAATCCCAATGCATTGATAGCTTGGATAACAGTAAATGTATCTGTCAATGAATTTTTTATAATATTAAAAGAAATATTGAATTTCAATAAAATAAATCATCTCATAAATAAAACATCAGCAGTTGGCATATATGATATCACGTGTTATATGTTCGATTATTTATCTGTTTAAATTAAAAAGAAAGAATTTACATAGAACATGTAATATTTGATTTTGTAATATATACAGTCTTAATATGTAGAAAATCAATTTCCTGAACTCCAATATAATACATATAATATATATAACTGTTTGTTTGTTAATTAAGTTATATGTTTAAAAAAAATATATTTTACATGCTTTTATAAAATAAATGGTTAGTAACAATTTATTCGTACCCAGTAGGAGTTGAAATCAACTTAAATTCTGTGCAAAAGAAAGACATCATTTGCAATATATATTAATTAAAGCGATCCCAACTTAGAAAAGTCTGATGTTATATTTTCCATGCATAATAAGATATTTACACAACTTACAGTTACCCACTCCTTTACAGATAAGTTTAAGCAGATTATCCTGTACATAAAAATTGTCAGTAATATTGTAAAGATGGATTATAATAATTTACTCATATTACAATGTAAATATTGTTTAAAAAAATTGTTTACCATCTGGGATAACTACAACGGAAGAAAGCTCCAAAGAACGTTCAACGCAATTTCGAAAATTTCTATTACAACTTGAAACATTTTCTGAATTAATATTCAATTCAGAACCGCGTAATTCTGCTAATTCGTGATAAGGTTCGTTAGATACTTGCGATGCATTGGACATGATTGTTTGTATATCATATACAGGAAATAATCAAATATTTAATTATCAAGTGACTTAGAAAATCAAATAATCCAATTGATTAATCATATATGAGAATCTTCGTCAATATGAGCGTAATAATCTCCTTGAAGATGAGGTTAAGTTCGTCAGTCTATCAATTGACCAAACACCGAATTACAAAACATGAAGAAATATCATATTCTGTTCAAAATCATTTGAATCAAGAGAGATCAATGAACATATATCTTTTATTACATGACGATCAAACAGTTGACTAAAATATGTTATTTAGTAATATTTGAAAATTGCAAGTTAAAGTAAATTAAATTTATAAAAAATTCTATCTCCGTTGCGTATGCATGATATACAATACAAATGTTTGTCTGTCACTGTGTATGTATCTTAATGATATTTCATATATATAAATACATATACACGTATAAAATTTATAATTTTTAATTAAAAATTCAATTCCCCTGAAAATTTATGGACTTGCTAGTAACATAAGTTGATTTCTAGTTATTTTTTTTTACTTCTTTAAATAGGCAACAAGGTGCTTCTTCTATAATCATATATAATTTCAGCATATTTACGATTAATGTTTTATAGAAAACGTAGCTAATTATTGGAATACAAAGAAATGCCACAACATACTTGCAATGAAAGTAACATCGAATATATAAGTATTTTTACAACTAAAAATATTGGGTAAAATAGTTTTGACATACATGAAACTTTATTTAAAGATATTCAATGAATATCATGTATATTTCATAATTGTCATACGTGGTCTTCGAGCATAAATAATTGTCTTTGTATTACGTGTTTAATTACGCTTAAATTATGAGTGTTGACAGCGAAAATAAGTCAAATGAAGCTATTGCTCCATTTTCACCATCAGCAAATCAGGAAAATACAGATAATGGAAACATTCAAGGAACTAATATAACCCCAGAAATGGTGCTACGATTACCTACAATTACTGATAGTAAGATAATATTCTTCTTTTTTTTTTTAATGTATCATTCAATAAGTAAATATTAAATATTTAAATGATTATTTATGTTAATTTCAGAGTATTTATGTTCTCCTGAGGCAAACATTTATGATATAGATTTTACAAGATTTCAAATTAGAGATTTAGAAACAGGAGCAATATTATTTGAGATAACAAAACCTCCAGCTATTGGTTAGCAATTGTGAAATTATTACCTTAAAAATTACAAATTTGTAATTCATATTTTATACATTATATAAAAGTTAAATTTTATTATTTCTGTTTTAGAATGTGATTCTAATCAAGATGTGGAACCAGAAAATGAAGAATCTGGTTGTGAGGATGCTAATACTGGCCGTTTTGTACGGTATCAATTTACACCTCAGTTTCTTAAATTAAAGACTGTTGGAGCTACAATTGAGTTTCTGGTGGGTTCTAAACCTGTGAACAATTTTCGAATGATTGAACGTCACTTCTTTAGGGACAGGTTGTTGAAAACTTTTGACTTTCAATTTGGGTTTTGTATACCAAATAGCAAGAATACTTGTGAACACATTTATGAATTTCCTACTTTACCTGCTGACTTGGGTAAGCAGTGAATAATTATTCAACACAACTTTATTAATTCCTAATATATAAACATTACAGTTTCTGAAATGATTGCTAATCCATTTGAAACACGTTCGGATTCTTTTTATTTTGTGGACAATCAATTGGTCATGCATAATAAAGCCGATTATGCATATAACGGTGGGCATACACATGATGTACTTTAGTAATTGAAGTCAGTAAAAAAAATTTGCACTTTGCAAAAAATGATTGTGATAATAGCAAATATTTAGCTAATTTAAAATTATAATCTTATTTCTTTTTATAAATGTTGAATTTGCATCACATGCAATTTTTCACTTTTTTAATTAATTTATATCTAGTTGAACACTTCTCTATGTTGAACTTATATTTGAATAAAGATATTTTATTTTATTATAATCAAAAATTCTATTGATGCTTAATATTTAAATAGTTGTTGTTTTCCTAAATATGGCCTTACATAAAACTGTTCCTCAGTTTTAACATTATAAATTTTGACTAATGACATTAAATGTATTTTTTACAAAAGCAAAAAAAAAGAGGCTAAAGAGATACAGAGCTTTGTAAGTTTTATTAATTTTATTAACAAGCACAAAATTCATAAGTTGTTTATACTGCATAAAATTATATCTCATTTCATTATTTTTCTCTTGTTTTATATGTAATGTTGTAAAATTCACAAATATATGTATATATTTACAAAAGATATTGTGTATTTTTCACATGTAAAATGATAATAAATTATGGCTGGTTAATGAAATCAATCGTTGTTTTTAAAAATTCTGTTGGTTTATCTGCATGTACCCAATGATCTGCACCATTTATATAAATAAAGCTAGCAGAAGGAAATAATTTTTTAATTTTATCATGATCTTCTATTCTTATATAGTCACTATTAGAACCACCTATAAACAGTGTTGATCCATTGTACACTCTTGATCCTACATCTGGAAATACAGCTACTTGTGTTGCAAAGTTTTGCTCTAACACAGGTAAATTAACCCGCCATTTAAATTTTCCATTATTTGCTTCTACTAAATTCATTGCTAAAAACTGCAATGAGAAGAAAATGTTAATTTATAATTTATATAAATGGTTATAATTTATATAAATATTTGATTACCTGACGTAAAGGTAAAGATTTAATAGCATTTGCTAGTTGATCTTTGACACTAGTACGTGCCTTTGTCAATGTTGTGATTCCTTCTAGATTTACTGTGCGCATTGCTTTGAATATCTTTTCCATGTTCATGAGCTGAGGACTAGTTCTCACCGGAGACATATCAACTATTATTAACTTCTCTACTAATTGTGGGTAATTTAAAGCTACAAACATCATCGTAGAACCACCCATACTGTGTCCTATTAATATAGATTTTTCAAATCCTAAATCATTCATAAGTTGAACTATATCTTGTGCCATATGACTGTATGTCATGTCTGAAGAATGTGGAGAATCTCCATGGTTTCTTGCATCTATAGTTATTACCTATAAATTTATGTTAAGTATTCTTTATATCACATAAAATACAAATATTTACCTTACGATTTGTATCCCGATGAATTGTTTTTGATAATAAATTCCAATTAGTTTTTGAACCGAAAAGACCATGCATTATTATTATAGGTTGCTTAGAAGCATTTTTATTTCCACCCATAGATTCATAGGAAACATAGGCTAGTTTTACTGGTATCACACTTGAAAATTAGTAATAATGAAATAAAGGCTACATTATAAAAATTAAACTATATAAATAATACTGAAACAAACACTACATGTACATGTATATGTGTGTGTATATACGTACGAATTATAATTACTACGTATTTGTTTAGAAGATAGATATGGTACAAAAAATGAAGTAACAACGAAATCTTGTCTTCGATAATGGATAAAACTATTTCGCGATATTACATATCGGTAACACATGCTACTCATATTTTTATTTTTTTTATTTTTTTTTAACAATATTTAACAATAAATTTTAATTGTCTTTTATAAAGACTTATATTTTATGTTACTTATTTATAACATAAATTCATAAATCATAAATGAACCAAATACATGTGATAAAAGTACATCGTGAAATAATATTACAATCCAATATTTAGATTACACAATTATATACATCTATTATATAAATAAGTTGAGTAATAATTTATAGTATATAGATTGTTTCTATGTTATATACATTATAGTTAAACAAATCACTTTGCCAATGTAGTATATATATTCTTACGTTAATATAGTACAGTATACATATGTATGCATGTAGTATTCTGTGAATGTGTAATAACTGGTTGAATGATCAAATGCTAAATTAGTAAACTTGTAAACGTTAATATATTTAAATAATTTCAATAATTAAAATTAATAATTCTGTAAGATAAATGATTTGATATATAAAAAGACTGAAAAGATCTGGATAAGAAATTTAAAAAAATTTTAATTTCAAATTAATTAATATATTTTATATAATATTTATATTATTAAGTATAGAATTATATAATAGGATTCATATAATAAGAATTAAATCTTGAATTCTTTTAAATTTTATTTCTTTTTAATATACATAATATAAATATTGCATGTATATAGATAAAATGTTAAAAATTGCATTAATCTATAAACAGAATGTTTCAGTAGAATAAAACAATTATAGTCATTATAATTTTATAAGTTACACAATTAATAATTTTATAAGTTACATAATAAAATTTTGATGCTATTATTTAAAAAAAAACATAATTTTTTAAAAATTATAGCTTTAAACTGATTAAAATTTTGATGAAATGTTTCAAAAGAATTGGAAATTATTAAAATTTCTAAAAATTTAATCTTTAGAAAGTATGTCTAAAAAATTCAGATAGGGTGTTTAGAAAATATTTTATGTAATAAAATTACATTAATAAAACTTTTTTTTTTGTCAAATTTCTAAATCTATTAGGTATTTTGTTTAAAACTCTTTAAATGTTATATATTATATATATTGTTAATGATTTATGTAACGAAAGTAAAATAATTTCCAATCGATACAATTAATATTTAAACATATTGCAATTGAGATTTTCTAGTATTATATTATAATGATAAAATATCTATTAATAGAAAATTAGAGCTATTACTGTTTAATGCATATTTCAATATTTCAATTAAAGTGAAGTAATGGAAATTAATAAGTACGTATATCATAATTTTATTTTAATGAAAGTTATTATGAATTTTGCTGGAAATAGTTTTTGATTTTATTTAATACAAAAAATCTGAAACATATTTTATCGAATTTGATAGTCAAGTGGGATGTGCATCTATCTGTTATTAATTTCGCGGCAAAATGCATACGTGGCGCTGTGGTAGCAACATGCCACTGTGAAGTGGCAAGGAAAAGACAAGTCGTATGTCGTTTCTAATTGGTTCGGATTGTAATTTAATAAAATGAGGTGGTTCATTCCGTGTTTATTTCTAATTTTTTCAAGCTCCAGTGTAAACTGTTATTTCATTACTGTAGACGCGCATGCCGAAGAATGTTTCTTTGACAATGTGGAAGCAGGCACGAAAATGGGTTAGTTTCCACTTTTCTATTTATTTTTAATATTCGTTAAAAAAGTAATAAACTGCAATCTTTTGAAATGAAAGTTTCACACAAAATTACGTTTCTAAATGAATGTTAATTAAAGTAGTTTTTTCGTATTAAAAAATATATATGTTAAACAAAGAGGTTCTGTTATTGCTCTCGAAATCAATATTGAATTAATTGTGTAAAATAGTATGAAACAATATCATTGTGTCATTTAAAATTGTTAATTTAGATAACTAAAGCTTACATACAACTTAACAAGACGTGTAAATATTTATTTGATTTTATACTTTGAATAAATAGTACAACATTTAAATATTTTAAACGACTGTTTTGAAGCAATTATTTTTGCAAATAAAATTACTATCTTATTTATAAATTTTATTTCATTTCATTATAATCCATATATAATAAAATAAATAAAATTACTTTAAGTAATATAAATTTATTATTTTTTATTTGAAAAATATTTTTGTCTAGTAAAAATAAAATATACATCCATTGTGTGATTATTACAATTTTAGTAGTAGAAAAAAATAATTCTTTTATTCTTCACGAAGAACCCAGATATTTCTTTATTTATTTTATTGACACATATTTGAAAGTAACATTATATTTAAACATAATATTATTTTTATAGGTCTTACATTTGAAATAGCAGAAGGTGGATTTCTAGATATAGATGTAAAAATAATTGGCCCTGATGGAAAAATAATTTATCAAGGTGATCAAGAAAGCAGTGGTAAATATACATTTGCTGCACATCTTCCTGGTATTTATACTTATTGTTTTGGGAATCAAAAAAGTAGTATGACACCAAAAGTAGTGATGTTTAATATGGATATTGGTGAAAATACGAAGCCCATAGAACAAACTTCAGATGGAAAAAATTCTGATCCAAATCATAATAAAATAGATGATATGATTAAAGAATTAAGTACAAGTTTATGGAGTGTGAAAAATGAGCAAGAGTACATGCAGGTAATTTGTCTTTATAACGTCATATATCTAAATTTATTGAATTCTGTGGAATTTTTAATAAAATTGAAATATTTTATTTATAGGTTAGAGATAGAAATCATAGAGCTATCAGTGAAAGCACAAATTCTCGTGTAGTTATGTGGGCATTTTTTGAAGCTATGGTTTTGGTTTGTATGACAATAGGACAAATTTTCTATCTAAAACGATTCTTTGAAGTTAGAAGAGTTGTCTAATTCAATATATATAATAAAATACACTCATTGTACATTTTTTTACATGATTAAGTTATAATAGAATTAAAAAATTTAAATATTTTGAAGTTATTTTTTTTCCTTTAATTTGACATACTGGTATACAATACAACATTGAAAACTTATAATATTGTTAAAAGCAAAGTATGATTTCTTATGATACAATTATTTTAACAATATTAAATAAAATGTTTTTTGTACCACTAATAGTTTAGTAGTACAAAAAGAAAAAAATAATTTAGTTTATATAACTTATATATACATATATCTTATATAAGATCAAATTATTCTTATATTAATAATCAATTTGCAGAGTTATTATTTTTATTGAACAAATATGTACAGAAGTTTGTACTGATGTATTATATAATTTTCATATACGAATTTAAATTCTATAACTTGTCTATTAATTATGTAAGCAAACATTAAAATAATTTAACAAAACTAGAAAATAAAATAATACCATTTATACAATTGTACAGAGTTATATGATTTAATAAAAAGATACCAATTAATTATCTGATACTTCTATTAGATATATTTCAGTAGTAAATTTTATGTAAATTTTATTTATTATTTTCTATTCTGTAGATAGTTTTAGTGATCTTGATGTAAGTTAGATTGAAAAGAAATCAACATTATTTAGAAAAACATTCACATATTGATATAATTAAAAACATTTCAACATCAACAAATATATATGAAAAATAGTCTAGATTTATATGTTAGTTTAAAAATCATGGTTTATATGTTAGTTTAAAAATCAATTAATTTATTATTACTACTATATTCGTTATATTACTATATTATTTATTATTATATTTGTAATCATAAATAACATACATATATTAAAATTATTAATTAATTGTAGATATAACAATCGTTTATAGTTTCTCCTTACGTTTTTTTTAATTTCATGGTGAAAGTGAAGTTCCTTGCGTAATATTCTGAACGTATTTCACGTTTGATGCTGAAATACGATTATTCGATTAACTGGATTTCCAATTTGAAAAACATTGAAATCATTCATACCGGAGCTCTCTAGTCATACATAACTCGTCTGATTCGTGAAGCAAGCATGAGAATAAATGAATGAAATAAGAAGGGTGGTAAGAGCACCCTTCTGGTATTCACCCTAGGGCACTTAAGTTAGAAAGGCTCATTGTCCGTTCCTTCTCATTAGATGCCACCTAGCAGTTCCATCGACCCTACGTAGTAACAATACTGTGGATGCTTTTTTCCTCCTCCTTGATCTGTAGCTGCAGGAAACACGAGCGGATTGCATGTCTCGGTGTCTGCTCTAATCCCGGCCATGATTATACCGAAAGCTAATACTTTTGGTACTCCCCGCAGCTAGTGTGAAATGTCGGATACGGAATTGGACAGTATTACCTCTGTTGAACTTGTTCGTCGAACGAGTTCGAAAGTCGAGAGAACTTTTAACGCATTACTTTTCTGTAACATTCGAAGTTTTAAACAGATACATCTATGTATCACATGTATAAATGTAGCAAAACTATAAACAATATGTGCTTTTTGTCATTTATTATCAATTATAACGTTTTTTATTTTTTCCAAAGTGACCTTGTGATCGATTTGACACACACACACACACACATATATAGTATATATACAGTATATACGACATATATAGTATATATGACATATATAGTATATATATAGTATATATATGACATATAGTATATATATAGTATATA